TCCGTATTGGTGGATTCCGTACGAGCGGTAAAGTTAGGCGGTAAAATCGATCCAAGTATGATTAAATTCACGGTGCCAGGCGTGACATTTGTAACTCAACTGGTATAGCATTGGCTTCGCGTAAATTGCCTTTCCTACTATATGGGTTCAAATCCGGCCGAATGTAGCGAGTTTTTCCACAATTGGGTCAGCTAAAAGATAATTATTCTGTCCGACGAATAAAAGTACAAATTGTGTCGCATGTCTGCCGCTGTTACGGCCACCATCGACAATACTTCTGTCGAAAACCTCGCAGCCGTGTCATCCGGCGGCAAAATGTCGGCGACACACTCGTCTGAGCTTTTAACTAGTACCTGTGCTGCCAGTATGTTGCTTCGTGTAACCTTAATAGACGTCACTTCCGATGCTAAGTAGGCTAATAGCGTTCACGTGACAGTAAAAGCACCTTCAAAATGGTCCACAGTATGATAAGTAGACAACGTGTAAACTAATTGACGCTTTCCAAAAGAAGATGTTTCTTCCTCCTTAAAAATGGCCCCCCATTTGGTAACCCATACACTTTCGGCGTACTAATGCTTGTAAAGAAACAAAACATATTTCCATATGTCATAATAGAAAAACTACCGCTGTCCAATTCAAATTTGAAAAAATGGTCCTGTTGCTTTCTATGATAATCCACCGATCGCACAATAAATAATGAGGTTATGAAACGCAATGTGTTCTATCGCACATTAAAACAGTCCCAGTGCCACAGGAGACTGTGTGCTTTTCACAGTATGCCCATTCGTTACTGGTAAAACCTGAAATACCCTTCCTTATTTTGAATCCTAGTAAACCCTCGCATTTACTCCTCCAGTCAAACGCATACTCAAGGTAAATTTAAGCGAATCTGTATTTGTAAGCTAATTTAGGTCGTTTATCTAAAAATAAAATAACTGTTGTGTTTGTAAATGAACCTACACTAAGTGCCTATTACTCAAACTTCATAAAACGCTAACACCTATATCAGCTCTCTAGTATGGATGCTTGTGGGCTCAAGAGTTACAGGCTATAAAATTAGTATTTTTACATTAAGATTCGCAAAGTAAGCTTCACTTGAAGAACATTTTTCTTTTGATTGGTCAAATTTTGCCACTTAGAAACTTGACTGAAAGTGTAAAAGAGTCCCGTTCCTACTGTTATATTTTTACAATAACAATGGAAATATAATCACAAAATTTACTTTTTGGGTTGGATCGAGATGCTTTTAGTCCGGAAAGAACTTTTCTAAGACATACTTCGGAGGGGAAGAGAGTAGAAATCAGCGTAAACCGATTAAATAGTGCTATTCAGAGAAATAAAATAAAATACGATATTTCACAAGGGATCTAATTAAGGCTGCAAAGCAGCAACCTCTCACGTTCCATCGTTGTACGCCTAGGGTACAATGACAGCGTTGTTGACAAATTTACAGTTGAAGCAAACTTAAGTACCGTAAAGATTGACAAAGGAAAAGCCCACTGTAGGTAAAATAACATTCCCATAAAGACAGGCCAGACTAGAATGGCAATTTTGGGCTGATTAGAGACTATTTTTGTCGGTACTATCTTCCCGCTCATAATACACTAGCCGCTGAGCGGTTGCTGTTGGGGCTTGAGATTGAGCCCGAAGGCAAAACAGGATGAGTTGTTGTATAACATCTTCAGTGAATGCCCTACTGCCACTTTTTCCATTTATGCGAAATTAATCGCTAGCTTGAGCAAATCAGTTTGAACTAAGATTTATAGGCACAAGCGTATACGGGACACCGTAATAACAGCACTGGTGCTAGCTAAAACCCAAGACACATGTTTCGACGATACTCTGCTCTCACATGACACAACCGCGAATGGTTCGGCTCATCACTGGGTCCCCCAAAAATTTACTTGTCAGCAAACGCACGGGTAGGTCTGGGGAACTCACTGATCAGCCAACTACCTCGCAGCTGTGTTATGCAGTGACAGAATATCAGCGAGATGCCTGTCTGGGTTTTCAGTTATCATCAGTGCTGCTAATATGATGTATCTCGGTAACTCAATTCCTCTGTCGTCGCTCGCGCCGAGAATCCCCCACCAGCGTCATCTGGGAGTGGGAGGTGGCGGGTTTGACCTATAAGCACCCTTTAATTCTGGTGAGAGCGGATAGTTCCTCAGTGTATGTACTCACTCACTCACGCACATGTCACACATCAGTAAGAAGACAGGCACAGGCGCAGTAGTTTACAAACCATAATGTCGCCGTCAGCGCCCGCCACACATGTACGGGTCATTTACTGTTTATAAATCAGTCTTGAATCAACGAGAGTTACCAAAAGCATTTGCCAAGAAAGCGGTTTCTGGTTGCAGAAAATTGCCTCCTTCTGCCTAGGTAGCCATTGGTACACCCAGCTTGAATAAGCTCAAGTCATTTCAAAGGAAAATAAAATCAGATAGTATTGCCGGCAAAGACAAGGGAGACTGGAATGACCATTTCTGGCTAATCAGTCGTCGTCAGCCAGTCGTACCCAATTCCACGTGGTGTATAACCCGAGGACCAAACTCACGACCGTTTTGATTAGAGACTTCCGCTCATTGTCCTGCCGTTTAGGTCGGGAGATATTGAAACTCGTCGATGAAAGTTCACCGACCGCTACTCGAGCTCACTTTTTCCTGTTCGCCGTTGCCCCGGGTCGCATTTCTCGGGCCCTGACAACAGCTAGTATTGTCGGCAAAGACAAGAAAGACTGGGGCGGCCAGTTCTGGTTTATTAGCCATAATTGCTCCTATTACTATCTGCTACAGCTGCTTTCAGCGCCCGAAAAATGGGGCTCAAGGCAAAGGCGGAGCGGGACAAGTGAATTACGTTAGCGGTCGGTGAACGTTCATTAACAGGTGTCAAAGGTAAAACCTTAGCCTGTTGGACAGTAATTATGTGACAGTTTGCCAAATAACTCTTTTTTCGTCTGTAGTTTTGGTATTCCTGGGTGGGCGTTTACACGCTTCCTTTTGCCAGTTCACGACTGGCGAATCCTTGTCGTGAAAAGTGGGCAATATTCACCAGTTCCTGATATACCATGATTTTTGATGCACTGCCAGTGCTCAAGCACATCTAAAAGTACTTATGCTGTGTAAGATGTGCCTGCTTATGCATAAAGCCTCCGAGAGTCAGCTTAATTTGCAGCTAGTCTTCTCGTGAGGTCTTTCCATTATCCCCCTGCCTAAAGGCGAGCTGGGTTGTCCCTACAGGGAGCCATTTCAGGTTTGCTCTACGTCCCGAAGCCCAGGCTGTCTCGCCGGGCCACAAGGACCAAAAACGGTAGCTCAGTTCAGGTGCAATATCTTAACTCTTCCGATCCAGAATCACAGTAAATCAATGGGATTGAACATGGCATGTCTTTTGCCTGTGTGTC